TTAAAAGTTTCTTACTTTTTAAAAAATAATTATTATTTTTTATTTAATTTCATTTACTCATTTATTTTAATTTGACTGGAGAGAGACACAGAGAGAAAGAGAGAGAGAAAGAGAAAATGAGAAAGCAAGCCACCAGGTCCAGGACTTGAACCATGGTCAGCCATGTGGGAGTGTCCAACACCTTAACCACCACACCACCTGCTGGTCCTTGGTTATCACATTTTTAAGAGTAGTTCTATTACCACTGTTGGGTCAAACCACCGTCAGATTTTTCCCCTTTAAGTGCATGTCAGTTGTAAAGAAAACACAGCAAAAAAACATTTTTTAAATCCAACCTAGAATAAAAGACCAGTGCTTCCTACCATCTGCATGGGGCTATTATTGTTTTCTTGGGAGTATCAAGAAAGATCATAGTTATGCAGTTTTAGACTGTATGTGTAGCAGGTCACAGTTTGCCCTTATGTATGTATACTTGAGTGGAGTACCTGTGTTTGTGAGTGAAAGTTGCTGTAATGGTGGGGAAAGCAATGTTACTGCATCTGGGCCCTCACCTGATCATTAAAGGGATTCTTGTCACCACCTCTCCCCACTGAATGCATCTGTCCACATGACTTTTCAGTTTATTTTTTTATTATGTAAATTCTTTCTTCTTTTTTTTTCTTTGGAGAGGTTTTTGCTATAGGGCGTGTGCACTCCTCAGAAAGAGACAGAGAGAGAGAAAGTGAGAAATCACCCCCTGGGGAGATGGCCATACCACAGTCCCTTCTCCTCCATTCTCCTCTTGGGATTCTGGGCATGCACACACATGCACCTGGTGTGAGTTTAAGCTACCGGGTCCGGGACTCAAACCGCAGTCGACTGCATGGGAGTCCAGCAACATAGCCATTACGGCAACTGCTGGTCCCAATATATTATGTAAATTCTTAATCAGCCTGTCCTATTTAGACTGTATATGTCATTATATCTGACATTCTTCTAAATCCTGTGTGATCGGTAACATTCCTGTAAGAAATACTCCTTTTTACAAAAATGCCACACTTGAAGGGATGACCTATATTCCACATTAATGGGTAGTCACTTTGAAGTTTCTCTAAAACGAGTGCATTTTTGTCTTTTTTTAAAGAATTATTTTTAATTAAATTTTTATTATATATATGTATACCTTTTTTCAGAGGTTTTTGCCTTAGGGCATATGCACTCACCAGGGAGAGAGAAAGAGACAGAGACAATGAGAGGGAAAATGAGAAATCACCCCCACCCTCCCAGGCAGGATGACCACGACACAGTCCCTTTTCCTCCATTCTTCTCCTGGGATCTTGGGCACGCATGCACACGTACCTGGTGTGAGTTTCGAGCCACCAGGTCTGGGACTAGAACCATAATCAACCATATGGGAGTTCACTGCACCATTTGCAGGCCCCAACAAATGCACTTTTAAAAAATATTTATTTAATTTTATTTATCTTTTTTTTTTTTTTTTAATTTTGCTACAGGGCACATACACTTACCAGAGACAGAGAAAGTGAGAAAGGAAGCCAATAGGTCTGGGACTCAAACCATGGTCTACCTTGTGGGAGTACTGCCCCCAACCACCACACCACCTGCTAGCGCTATCAAATGCATTTTTAAAGAAGTGAAGTGAATAAAGGCACAACTAAAAAATGGTACCAAAGAAAAAAATCACATTTCACACTGTCCCCTTTGTGCCTATGACTAGGATACACTTCACTGGAAAGGGATCCCACAAAAGCCCTAGTACAGGATCTGCCCTGTGTCCCCAACTGCCTTACTGCCATCCACTGGTCCAGAAGGAGCTATACCCTGCAGTCTTCCAAGGAAGAGCAAAAGCAAATCTCGGTTCACGCGCTTAGAAATGTGCAGGAGGCTGGCTGTCTCTGCTGCTGACACATGCAAGTTCAGGACGTCGCCGGAACTTGCCTAGGCCTCAGTTTCTCGTGAAGTAGATGGAGTCGTGATAAGGTCCTTTACAAGCCCCTGCTTCTCTCCAATTCGATCCACTTTTCTCACTCTTGGTTTTTGTTTCGGCTGTGTAATCACTTGCTCTTGTAAGGATCTCATTACCTTCCTTTTTTGTTTTTTTCTTTAAAGAGTTAGTTATTTAATTTTACTCACTATTATTATTACTATTATTTTAACTGAGTGTCTTTCAGTTTTGTACTCTTTGCTTTGGCCAGGATTCTTACATGTCACGAGTCTGTTTTATCTTTATAAACATGTATGTGGGTCCTGATACACGTGGAGTTGCTGCAAGAATCCTTGTGATTCATGTAAACAAAGTAATCATGTGATTCATGTAAACAAAGTAATCATGTAATTCATGAAAACAAAGTAATCATTTCACACATCCCTATATACATCTCTTCAACAGTTAGCAAGTGCCTGAAATACACTTAGCTACCCACAGTCCCTCCACACTCCAAGATCATCTGACTCCCTCTCTCTTCATCTTCCTCCTTTCCCATCCTATTTTTTCCCCCTTCCCTGTGCCACAGAATTAGACTGGGTGCCATGCAAGGCAGGCCTCAGAGACACAGGAGCACTGGTGGAAACAGACACTGTGGAAAGGAGCCAGATGAAATAAGGGCAAAGACAGCCGTGTTACATGCAGAGACCGACCAGAATGAAAAGCGGTGATTCACAGCACTGCAACCCAGACCTTGGGTTTCACTTTGAGAGCTATTGCGGGATTGGGGTCAGCGAGAGCTGACATCAAGACGAAGGGCAGCCAGGCTCCTCCTACCTGGAGATGTAGTCCCTTTAATCCCTCCCTCCTGACCCCACCCCCACTATTCCCTCACATTGACCAGTGTCCTGGGCCTTTAAGAGTTGGACTGGCTGGGCTAAGGAGAGAGCTCTCACCTCTCTCCACCCTTCTTCCCTGATTGCCAGTCACTGCAGTAAGCTGCAGTAGAAGAGGGGAGGAAGTGAGCGTGTGCAGGAGAAGCCAGAGGGAAGGAGCCAGGCTGGGCTTTCTCATCCAGCAGTGGAGCGCATCGCCAAGCTCAGGAGGCATAGCTGACTACACAGGACTGCTCTCCTGCTACCCTGCTGTTCTACTGTCCTGCCCACGGTAAGGGCCTGGAGGCTCTGACCAGCCTCTGTTCCAAGCCCTGTCCTGATTGAATTTCTAACTCTGTCCTCCTGAGGATGATCACCCTAGATTAAATTGTGTCCTAGATTCCTTCCCTTGCCCCAATGACTCTACAGGACTTTCTCCTTTTGCTTCTCTCTAACTTATCCTCTTCGACTCTTAAGAGTTTTTCTCCCTGCTTGATCAGTCACCCCTTTATATGATAAAACTCTTAGCTATCAAGAGTCAGGACTGCTGTCACTAGCCACTCTTCAGAGGTAAACTCCCAACCCAATAAGGGAAGAGGAAGAACTGGAGTAGCCAAGCGTTAGATATCTATTCATTAGCAGATTGTGGAGGGTTACCAAATAAAGGCTGGCCAAGACCTACGGAAAGTCAGAAATCCCTGATAATAGAGTTATGAGACTTCCTTGGCAACAGCTAGGGTTTGAGCTCTGTGCCTGGGTCTTTGTACCGGGCTCGACAGCGTGCTATGCTGGGGGAAGTACTTGCTTCTTGTCCTAACTCTACCATTTAGTATGGGACTTTGGACCACAATTTCTGGTCTATGATAGGAGTTTCATGTTTCCAGTCTTGCCTATGTACCTGGTGAGCTTGTTAAAAATAAATACTTCTTGGGGGCCCCAGGTGGCGTGGTGGTTAGAGGCGCCGGATTCCCACATGGCCAACTGTGGTTTGAGTCCCGGACCTGGCGACTTATTCTTTGCTTTCCCTTTTCTGTTTCTGTCTGGCCAAATTAAAAAAAATTATAATAATAACAAATGGAATTTAAAAATAAATCATTAAAAATAAATAAATAAATATTCTTGGGCCAGCAGATGGTGTAGCGGTTACATCACTGGATTCCCACATGGCTGACTATGGTTCAAGTCCCCAACACAGTGACTTCAAACTCACGCCACACCAAGCACGTGTGTGTGTGTGTGTGTGTGTGTGTGTCCAAGGTCCTCGGAGAGTAGAGGAGAAGGGATTGCGGGAGGGGGGCGATTTCTCACTTTCCCTCTCACTGTCTCTCTCTCTCACCAGTAAACACACATGTCCTAAGGCAAAACCTCTTGAAAAAAATATAATAAAATAAGTAACCTTGAACCCCATCTTTGGAAATTCTGATTTGGTAGATTTTGAGTGGGCTAAGGAATCTCAATTTTAAAACACTGTCCAGGAGATATTGGTGAAACCAAGAACCTCTAATCCTTACTTACAGATGTATTGTAAAAGAACTTTCAAGCTTTAACATACTGAAGGCTACAACCTATAATGAGAGCCATTTTGTCCTCTTTATATGAATCGGGCTAGACATAATCCTTCTTAGAAGCAAGGAAGTAAACAAAATAACTCTCTCCCTTACTGACCCTCAGAGAGACCTGAGACACCCTTTCTTTTCTTTTCTTTTTTTTGGAGAGGTTTTTGCTATAGGGTGCATGCGCTCACCAGACAGACAGAGAGAGGCAGGGAGACAGAAAGCAAGAAATCACCCCCTAGGGAGGATGGTCACGCCACAATCCCTTCTCCTCCATTCTCCTCTTGGGATCTTGGGCACGCATGCACACGTGATCGGTGTGAGTTTAAGCCACCGGGTCCGGGACTCGAACCACAGTTGACTACATGGGACTCCAGTGACATAGCCATTATGCCATCTGCTGGTCCCAACCTGAGACACCCTTAATCCCACTGTAATTTTATTTGTGCCACTGGGGACCCTGCCAAAGTCCATCTCTAGGTGAACATGGACCCACTTGGAAGTTAAGGATCAAATCTTGCTCTGTGGCCATGACCCACTTTTCACCCTATTTTGTGTCTGTTTTTCCATCTGTCTTACAGAGGTAATTATCTGTAGCTTCAAGATTTTTATATACATGTCTAGGAGTTAATATTTAAGACATAATCTCTCTTATTCTCAGGTTTAAAATCCTCTGTACCCTTGCCAGTGCCCCCACTCCCAAATTCTATATTCCTTCTCTCCTCATTGCCCCTATATTAGCTCTGATCAGCCTTCTGTCCCACCTTCAGACACCAGAGGAAACATTGAGACCTAGAACACCTAGGTTCTAACTCGCATTCTCTGAGCAGTTTGTTTAGTCAGTCTCCTAGGATACAGGGGAAAGTGAGGCTGAGCAGAGGGACATGCTACTGAGTGTCCAAATCCATGTGTCCTCCCTCCTGGGCCAGTCTCAAACTCCTCAGAGGATGAGAATCAGAACAATTGGGAATTAGTGGAGACAAGAAGGAAGAGACAGGAAGAGGTGATGAGAGAAGGGATGAGAAGGATGAGAAGAGGAATGCAAAGAGAGACTGACCTGTGAAGAAATAGGGAAAAGAGAAAGGATTGGGAGGAAGAAGAATGAGCCGGGGAGAGAGGAGAAGGACTGGACCAGGCAGTTTGCGGAATGGAAAGAAAATAGGAAGAGAGGAAAGAAAGGGCCTGTTGGTGTGGTTGTTCAGGTGACTAGATCCCACCCTGACGACAGCATGGTTCAAATCCTGGACCTGGGGGCTTGAAAAACACGCTGGACACCTGTGAATGTGTACCCAGAATCCTGAAAGGAGGGAGAGATGGAGGAGAAGGGATTGTGGAGTGACCATCTCCCATGGAAAATGCTTTCTTGTTTTCTCTCTTTCTCTCTCTCTCTCTCTGACGAGCACACTCACCCTCCAGCAAATTTAAGAAAGAAAGAAAGAAAAGAAAGGTGATTCAGTAGGATACAGGGAAATAGAAAATGATGGAGGGGAGAGACAAAACCCGTGTCCCTCATTGATTTCTAGTCTTACCTCATCTTACTTCCTGGAAAAGACTTTTAAATTTTATTTATTCAGTTTTTGCTATAGGGTGCATGCACTTGCTAGAGAGAAACAGCGAGAGGATAAATGAGAAATCACCCCCAAGGGCAGATGGCCACACTGCAATCTCTTCTCCTCTATTCTCCTCCTGGGATTCTGGGTACACACGCATACTTGCCCAGAGTGATTTTCAACTACCAGATCTGGAATTCGAACTGATTTCAGCCATGTGGGAGTTTAGTGCCTTAACTACCATGCCACCTGCTTGTCCCACAAAGACCTTTTCTAGGAAGAGATTTTTCAGCTGATTGTGTGAAGGCCTGTGTCAAGTTCCAGTTCTGTCACTCATTTAAGTGACTTTGGTAGTTCAGCTCATCCGTCTAGTCTTTAGTCCCCTTCTCTAAAAAGTGAAACTCGACTCTAACATTCTATGGTTCCCTGAGTTGAAACTGGTGCATGTATGGCCACATGTCATCTGGATACAGATTTTTTTTTTTGAGAGGTTTTTGTCATAGGGCGCGTGCGCTCGCCAGACAGACAGAGACATACAGACAGAAAGTGAGAAATCACCCCCCAGGGGGGATGGCCACGCTGCAATCCCTTCTCCTCCATTCTCTCGGGATCTTGGGCATGTATGTACATGTGCCTGGCGTGAGTTTAAGCCACCGGGTCCAGGACTCGAACCGCGGTCGACTACGTGGGAGTCCAGCAACATAGCCATTATGCTAACTGCTGGTCCCATCTGGATACAGATTTTAAATAGTGATTCAGGAAGGGGAGCAGGATTAGAAAGAAACGGCCAAGCCCTGAGGTTGGAAGAGTTTGACAAAGGAGGAAAAAAATAATTTTCTAAGACTTGCTTGAGAGGAGATAGTCTCCAAAATAGGGGTATCCAGGCACTTGGACTCCATTCTCAGGCTTCCCATGTTTCAGGATATCACTGTGAGGCTCCTGGACACAGGCATAAGGGAAGGTAATTCTTTCTTCTCCCAGGCCCAACCCCACCCCATCCTAGAGTCTGTAGGCCCCAGAAGTGGGAATTGAAGTTCAGAGAAGATAGATATAAGGGAGGCAAGGGAAATTAGATTTCAGTCCTGAGCCATCCATTCCTCACTAGAGTCTAAGGACCTAAAGATTTAAGAGAGACCTATTACTTTCTTTTTTTATGTTTTGGGTTTTTTTTGTTGTTGTTTTGCTTATAAGTCAGAGGGTGCATGTGCTCACCAGAGAGACAGAGTGGGGGAAAAGGAGAAGGCACTTCCCTCCCACTCCATAGGGCATTGTTTTGCCACAATCCCTTCTCCATTTCTCCAGCCTGTGGGGATCTTGGGCATACACACACATGTGCCTAGCATGTCCTTTAAGCCATTGGGGCCAGAATTTGAACCAGGGTTGGCAATGTGGGATCCAGCTCTCTTAACTACTAGGCTACAGGACCAGCCCAAGACCTATTTCTTTCTATTTGCGTCTTCATAGAGTTTCTGTAATTGTGTATCCCCACTCCAAAAATCAGAGATGCTTGCCTGTTTCTCAGAAAGCACTTTTTTTTTTTTTTTAGAAAGAGAGATTTTTGCTATAGGCTGCATGCATTCGTCTGAGAGACAGAGAGAGAGAATGAGAAATCGCCCCCCTAGGGAGGTGGAATGCTGCAATTCCTTCTCCTCCATTCTCTTCTTGGGATTTTGGGCATGCACACACACACACCTGATGTGAGTTTTAAGCTGCAGGGTCTGGGACTCAAACCGTAGTTGACTACGTGAGAGTCTGATGATGTAACCATTATGCCATCTGCTGGTCCCCTCAGGAAGCACTTTGGATCCATTTATCCATCCAGAGGTTTCTTCTGATCTCACCTAGGTGTATGTATTCAACCTCAGCTGGTAATGTCTTTTCTTCACCAAGCTGTTTCTTTCCTCCTCTTGCTCTTCCTGTCTTACTCTGGGTCCTGCACATCGCTACCCCTTCAGAAAGCTTCCTCTGGGTCCTATGGTTAGGGAAGTTGTATTTTCAGTGACTGTCACATTCTCCCTGAAGACTTTGTCACTCCTGGGTGACTTTATAAGGTATTCTCACTAAAGAGAGATAGGGCACTAATACACTATGTGACCTCAGAAAAGGCATATCACATTTCTGGACTTCCTTTTTTTTTTTTTTTTTTTTATTAAGATTTTTGCCACAGGGCGCACATACTGGCTGGAGAAAGACAGGGACACAGAGAAAGCGAGAACTCATTCCCCAGGGGGAATGGTCACACCCCACTCCTTTCTCTTCAACTCTCCTCCTGGGATTTTGGGCATGCATGCACCCACGCCTAGAATGATTTTCAAGCCACCAGGTCTAGGACACAAATCATGGTCTGTCATGTGGGAATACAGTGCTTTAACCACTTGCCACCTGCTGGCCCCTGGACTTCTTTTTCATCTGTAAAATATAAAAAATTGAACTGCATGAAATTTTGGGATTTTTATATTTATTTTTTATTCTTTATTTACATGATATTTTTAATGGAAACTAATGGAACAATTGCTTTACTTATTTTAAATTATTTTAGATGTTTACCACTGTCCAAATTTTAAACTTTTAAATTAAGAAACACATATTTTGGGGCTGACAGGTGGTGTGATGGTTAAGGGCGCTGGACACCCACATGGCCGACCATGGTTTAAGTCCTGCACATGGTGGTTTGCTTTTTCACTTTCTCTCTCTCTGTGTCCCTCTCTGGGGGGGACAAATTA